TACTGTATGTATATGCATGTTATCTGTTTACTGGACATTAAGCACAGAAATAAATAACTTAAAAACTACCTTTACTCCAAGACCAGATGGGATAACTATGGTCATTTGAACAATCATTAATGTATAATTTCTGCAATCCCTGCATACAGAGATAAGTGTTTAAAGGGAAGTAAGCTGATATGTTCTTCCCGCAAGGTACTTATTAATATAAGATTAGTCTTTAAAATACATAATGATATACTAACTAATCATCATGCTTTTGATCCAGTTGTTGAAATTTCTCAGGTAGAAAATACGACTCTTGCAGCGCTCTGCAAGCCCCCTCTCTTCTAAAGTATTATAATGTGTAGCCACCACAGAGCCATGACCTTGGGATTCCTCATGTCTTGCTCTTGTGGACAGGTCTGATGGCACAGAAGTATTATTTGGTCCTTCCCCTGTCTTACCAACTGAATCCTGAAGAAATAAAACACATCTCAAACTTCTTCCAGCCGCTATCTAATCCTGTGAATGTGATGAAATATGGTGACATTGTGAAATAATTTGCTTCTCAATGAAATACATTTTACATGTTTAAAGAGACTATAATAAAAGCAGAAATGGATAATTCAGTTTATGCAATATTATGAAAAGGGAGTTACAGTGACTGAATGCCCCATTGTGTGATAAATTCCCTTTAACTGCATTGTTTGCCAAACCAAATATCCAATGCAGCTCACCTGAATGCCAGTTAAACAAAAACTATAATCCAACACAAATACGTAAGTTCTGCAACAGCAAAACTTATTGCACTCACTGTACAGGATTAAACAACTGAACAGTATCATACTTACCTTGAATTTCTTTAAGACATACAACTTTATATAACTGTTACTATAGATCCTTTGCAGTAACAGTTCACAGTACTCTGGAGGTTAGATGACTTATGATATCCTCCCCCAACACCTACATAGCTTTGTGATAAAGGAGATTTCAGGTTCTTGCAGGAACAAGCAGGAAGATGACTATCTTCTGGCACATTGTGCTGTGTAATATCATATAAATGGAGATGATGGAGGCAATAAACCTCTGAAACATCAGCTGATTTCTACAAGTCTACATGATGCAACATCCAAAAGCAGTCTGCATTGTGCTAAAGTGCTAAGGCAAAGGGTAACTTGCATTTACACTTGTAATTCTACTGTGGAATACTGAGAAGAAAGTGAGATCTGTTCTTGACCAATGGAGGAGCAGACAAGGAAGAAAGCAGCCAGAAAGTCTAACAGAAAGTTCAGTCAGTCCAGTATATTCTGGTTCAAAACATAATGTGCTAAATCACTGACATGTCTTTAAGAAGGTGCATAAAGTTTACTTTTACATAACTGTCTGTAGTCCATTAGATATAAGAATTAACTTAGTTGACCTCTGGTATACTTGTCTTTGTGGTGGTGGTAATTAGTGATAGATGACTTACAATTATAATTATTTACACCAATCTATGTTCCTCCTTCAGAGTGAGAGACCATGTTTTGCACACATACAAAACAACAGGGAAAATTATTACGAAAAACTTCAAAAGACAGAAACCTTAAGAATTAACACAGTGATGAAGTTAAAACATGCTGACCATCACACAAGCAACATTAATAACTGTGTATGTACAATCTCACATTGCGATATTCACAAATACACTCGGACTTATCCAGATGGTAGCACACACAATCAGATAGATCATGTTTTGGTAGATAATAGAAGGCAGACAAGTATAACTGATGTGAGGTCATTCAGAGGAGCAGATTGTGACACTGACCATTATCTGGTAGTGGCAAAAGTTAAAGACAGGCTTTCAATAAGTAGATGAATTAAGCAAAATTTTGACACACAGAGATTTGATTTGAAAAAATTACATGATGGAAATGCTTGCTACTGTTCAGTTCAAAATATTCTGTCTTCCTGTCTGATTTCTAAAAACCTGAAGATTAAAATATACAAAACAATAATTTTGCCTGTTGTTTTGTATGGGTGTATAACATGGTCACTCACTGTGAGGGACAAACATAGATTGCAGGTGTTTGAGAATAGGATGTTGAGGAGGACATCTAAGCCTAGGATAGAAGACAATGGGGTATGGAGAATATTGCATAATGATGAGCTTAAAAATTTGTACTCCCCTAATATTGTCAGGATGCTTAAGTCAAGAAGAATGAGATGGTTAGTGCATGTGGCACGCATGAATGGGGAAAGAGGTGTGCACCAGGTATTGGTTAGGAAGCCTGCGGGGAAGAGACTGCTGGGCAGATCTAGACATAGATGGAAGAAAAATATCAAGCAGGATCTATGGGGAGATAGGAGTTGAAGGCGATTGGATTTTGTTGGCCCAGGACAGGGACTGGCAGAGGGTTAATTCAGTGATGACCCTTCAGGTTCCATAAGCCATCCAGTTAGCTAATTAGATAATATCTAGGATCTGATAAGTTCATCATGGATACTGAACTTATTTACAAAGCTGAAATAGCAAGTGATAACTACCAGTTAGATGAATGACAACAGTTTTAAGAAATGGGGTAAAGAAATGTTACTATCCAACTCGCCAGAGAAATCAGTGGCAATTTTTGATAATGAACCTTACCACAATAGAAAAGTGGACAAACCTCCAAATAAATAAGCCATGAGTCATGGATGATTTCATGGCTTCAAACACATGGTATCAGATTTGATGACTCCATGAGAAAATATGAACTGTATCTGTTAAAAGACATTAATAAACCCAGAGAAATGCTACAAAATTGACAAGACTCTGCACAGATATTGTCACATGGCTCTCAGACCGCCTCCATACAACTGTAATCGCAACCCAATTGAATTGGCATGGTTTAAAGTAACAATGTATATCAGAGATCACAATATATGTGGAGCCTACCTCATTTGCATGAAATGACTGAGGCTGGATATGTTCAGATACTGAACAGAATTGGAACCACACCAAAAAACTGGAAGAATACAATAATTGATTTCTGGTGTGACAGATAACATTATGACAACCAATCCTAACAATGATGATGATTCTTCTTTTGTGGATTGAGCCTATGTCATTTAAAGAGTCAAACTCTGGTTTCTCTGATTACGAGTGTATATACCCCTTTGATGAACAGCCAAACGAGTAATGTAAGTAGATCTTTTATAACAACATAAAATACTATGGATGTACTGAAAATGTGAATGGAAATTAAATCAACAAATTCTAGACTCTTATCCCTTCAACAGGAAATAGTAGTCTGACAGCAACCAGCAAGCCAGGCCTAAATTCCTTAGTAAGCATCTGTAATTTACATTTACTATTTTAAACTAATTTATTCATTGTGAAACGTTTTAACATTTTGATTATTTATGTGTACCACTGTAATGACATACCTATATAAACTTCTTAACACCCGAAAAACAGAATATTATTAGGTGAAAGTGCATAACAGGTTGTGACTGCCTACAATGTTGTAACTGATAATGTTAGGTTAGTTTACATCAGTCTAGCAACAAGTGCAGAGCTGTTACAGTAATGTGATATTCTCACATATTCTTCTGAACTATTATCTGAATCACCATCTACAGTACTACACAGCAAATGCCCCCCAAAAGTTTCGCTTCTACGAAGCTTACCTCATGCGCTCCTGTGTTATCTCCTATTGTCCCAGCCTTATCTGCAACGGGGGCATCATTCCTTACACTAAATGAATCGCATTCAACTTTCGACCCAGACATGATAGTTCTTGCACAAATGAGTTGTTCAAACCATTCGATAAATTAACACAAACAATAAGCACATATCGGAACAAAATTTGACACCCACATTACAGTTTGTTGTGCCAAAACTGCTTACTGCTATCTCTCAATACATTTACATGCTTCATGACCAGTCCAAAATAATTTTGGTTTTCAACAGTATTGTTAATTACGTGTTTAATTCTGAATCACAATAATTACATACATTAACTATAAATATTAACGGCATGCCTATAAAACACGGATAACCTACGCTATAAACGCTACTTCCAATGCTACCAATTCCCACGAATCAAATAAGACAGACAAATGAACTTTACCCCATTCATCGCGCTGTGCAACAACTGGACACTGGACGCCATTGCACATTGAATGCGGAGCGCGTTCAATATTACTTGGTAAAACCATGAGCAGTGGCTCGAAATTGCTTATACATTGGCTATTTTCATTCAGGTCCCACATTAATATCATGCATTTTCTCTTTGTATTATTACGCGTTCAAGTCGAATGCGCAGAATCTATTTCTACATAAACAAATCCACGGAGAGAATATTTTGTATGCGTGCTGTATACAATACGGGGAAATTAAATTTAGAACAGAGCCGCACAATAAAACATCAGAGAAAGGAAGCATAGGTTAAGATTGGACAAGCACAAAATAGTAGAACTGAGTGTCCTCGTTGTTGATTACAATAGACATTGTCTTTGCTGAAGAAGTTGTATTAATTTGTGTAATTGAAATTTGAATAAGCTACTTGCGATCAGGTAGAAATAAACCTGTATTTTAATATGTTTCCTGCAAGATTAATTCCAATAAGTTAGGGTCTTAATTGTGATGACTCTTATGATGTAGGCATATTTAGTATACAAAGTGAATTGCAGTTACGATGTTTAGCTCCACAGTTCAGTACCAGTGTGTTGGAACAAAGTGTATTTTGTTAATGACACGTATCAAACAACCAAGCAGCTTCAGATCATCGTTGTGTTATGCATCCCATGTAGTAAATAATAAATTACTACCGGCAGACCGGTCAACCCAAAGTAATTATACCAACAAAGGTAAATTTATGGGCATCATTTGATTATTTATGTTTATCACATTATCTTTTACTTTCATTTGACAGTAAAGCATTTTATTTCGTTACAGGTGGTTTAACAACGTATCAACAAAGACGAAAGTGTCAGCATTTAGAATGTGTAACATTGCTGATGAAGTTTATTAATTTTCCAGCAGTATCATGTCATGGGTATCAGTCATTGTCGTTGCTTAGGACTTCCATATTTACTCGAAATGTTTCCACAAAAGGGAACAAGCAGCCTGAACAAAGTAAGGTGGAAGAACCTAGTATTTCAAAACCAGAGAAGCTGTCTTTACTGCAAAGGTTTAAACAGATGTATCGTGATTACTGGTATGTGTTGGTGCCTGTACATCTGATTACATCCCTCGGATGGTTTGGAGGTTTCTACTATCTTGCAAAGAGGTATGAAACTAGGGAAGCTAAATAGATTAGGAAAGAGGAAACAATAGAAATTAAGCACAAGGTTTACACTAAAATGTACTTGTCAACACAAAATATTGTATACATGAGTGCTACAGAAGTTGAGTCAGAACTTCATTGGGAAACATGCTCCCATCACAGCTTTGCTGATTGTCATCTACCCTTTGAACATTGGCTTCTTCCAGTGATATACCAAATTGAGGAGCATTTATGTATTCCAACAATGTGCATTATGGATGCTACTTAATTTAGATCACTTCCATAAAGCCTTCTCTGATGTTTATGCCTTGTTACTAGAATCTGAAATATTGAAGTAATCAACATTAAACATTTTTTATCATTTGTGAAATTTAATATCTTTGTTTCTTTGTTATGAATGTAATTTCTCTTATGATTTAAGAAGTACAGTTTCTTTGTTTATAAACTTATTTATTAAGCTACATAATGCCCACTTGTCTTATGAAGCATGTCAGCATGCACATTACTGTTGAATTCTTATTATAATCATCTTAAAGAAATACCAGAAAGGGGGTAGTTAGGTATACAGTGAAATGACAATGTATCCATGCAGGGTTCACACATTTTTCCAGTTCAGTGAGGGGCAGCTGTAAAAGAGCTGAGAACAGAGGTTTTTTACGATGAAAGAAATGTAAAAGAGGTTTTTCCCAAAGAGTAGATTGTGCACTTGTGGTTGAGGTATATCTGATGCTGAATATGTTTCTTTACAGCGGAGTTGATGTTATTGCCCTGCTTGAGAGTATGAGTATCAGTGAGAAGGTAATCAATCCTCTCCGGGATTCAAGTGCTGGTTACATCGCCCTATCTTATGCTCTTTACAAAATTGCCACTCCAATCCGCTACACAGTCACTTTAGGTACATTATATATTTTGTTCATTATTATTTAGGAATGTCTTTACAATATGATGATCAGTTACTGTTCTTTTCACACACCATAGTCCAATGTTTTGCTTAGTTACACTAGTTACCAACAGATATTTGTAGTAGTAGTAGGAAACATAAAGCAAATATAGAACATATTTATATATTTCTCCAATAGATGTGAATTCAGTAATGGTTTGCATTGAGTTGTGTGAACTATTTGCATTATGTTACATCTAGTAAGCATAAATAAGATATGAATTTTGCAAGGCAATTGACATTGAATAATATGAGGGTGCATGTAAAGTTTCAAATATACAGTGTATTCTAAAGTTATTTTATTACACAGACTGAATTATAACAAGGAAATATGTTCTGTTAAAAGGTTTCCAGCATAATATGGAGTATAGGTTAAACTTGTTTGAAGCTGTCTTACATTCCGCTGAGTCAGCTTGAATCTTAGCAGTATATAGAATTCTGAAAGGCAGTTTTAATTGTGAGTGGATGGAAGGACCTATAGAGCACTTATTATCCATTCAAAAGCTAACATCTCCCTATAAGTTTTGAAACCAGACTTATAAAAGCTGCATTTTGGGTTACCACTGCTGTTATCACACTTTTTTTGCTATATTGTCTAAGAAAGCAAACAACCTTTTGTTTCATTGTGTTGTTTCCAGTCTGTGAATGTTGGTAATATTTAGATGTGAATATGTTAAGTTATTGTTCACTGCGGAATGTGTTTAAAGGTTTCAAGGATATCTTCTTTTCGAAAAAAGCACTTACAAGGTGCCCATATAGACTAGCTCAGTAGCATTGTGTTTAAGAGCTCTCTAATCTGACACCAACAGGACAAAGAAATTCATATTTATTTGCATGGATTACAACAGCAATATGTAAATGTAAAGCACTTCTGCCATGTTATTACTGACTAGGAAATTAAAAATTGCAAGGTTAGGGTGGCCTCATAGGTTTATAGAAGTTTTGTGAAAAGCATTCAGCTGGTTGAGAAGTTGAAAGGTGGATATATACAGACAGTATGGTGATTAAATAAGCCTAATTTATTTTCTCAAGAAATGAAAATAGGCTGAAGTGTGTATTTTCTGTAGAAGGTATGAAATGTGTAAATTGCCTTATGAAATCTATATTTATCTGTTGTAGTAATAACTGATGCAGAAATTAACGAACTGAAATGTCACTAGATTGCATAATTAATGCTTAATTTCTCATCACTTTATTGTGAAAGTTCAAACATTTAAAGGAACACAGACATTGTAAGTTTTTTCAGAATGTCTGTAATATGAAAACTGGTAGTATCTAAAGAGAATATTCCCATGATTATACTCACCTATTGTCTCAAACCATTAGCATCAGTATATTAACCATTAAATATGATTGTCTGTATAGGTGGCACCACTGTATCAATCAATTATCTAAAGAAGTGGGGCTACATCAAACCAATTCCTCCTCGTGAGAAGCTGAAGAAAATGTATCATGAGAAGAAGGCAACTCTTATGCGTGACACAACGGAAGAACTCAAACTGCAGCAGGAAAAGCTGAAAATAACACATGAAAATGTGATGAGAGGATGCAGAGAACATGCTGGAAAACCTGAAAAATTAGAATCTGAATGCAAGGCAAAAAAGCAGGCGGAATAGTATATGGCAGTGAAATGACTGTTGTTAACATATTGCTTGCAATGAAGGATTTGAGTTTTAGAGACTCTTATTGTCTGGAATGAAATGCTGAAGACTGTTCACTGATAGTGTCATATACCCTAGCTCTACTATAAAGCTCTAACTGAAACAGTGTTCTTAACATTTAAGTTGGATTAATAGATATTTAAAAGGTCCTCCGCTGTAACTTTAATATTTGGTCATTTATATTCATTTTTGGTGTTGACTTTTTCACATGCATTTTATTAGTTTTTATTAAATCAGTGGAATCAACAGAATAGGCATAAAATTCTTTTTTCTTTTCCACACATTTGTATTTGTGTATTTGAGAGCTTGATATTATTAGTTAAATTGCAGATAGCATTTATTTAGTACCTACTGTCCACATCTGATTAAATGGTGTCTGCACTCCTTGGTAGTGATTTTGTCTCAGCTTATTACTGTTTGGTTTATGCAGCGGGATGAGAAAACAAATATTCACTGATCAAATAACATTTGAAGCAATGGTGTTCACTCTGTTACACATGCTCACTCTCATATTGTGCATAAACAAGACTTCTTTTGAGAGAGCAATGTTGAGTAGAGCATATTCTAACAAACCCTTTCCCTCCTGGCACTTCTTCTGTCAGAAGCCAAAGAAATGACACAGTACTAACATTCAGAGTGAATGTGTGGGAATTACAGTTGTACTTCTGACTGAATACAAATTTTAGTAGATGCTGTTTTATGTACATTTACTGGTATGTGCATCACAAGAATAAGGGAGTATCTGGTGTCAATTCAGTGGAAAGTTATATTCATGCACTACCAATCTAAAATACAAGACACAGAATGTTGCAAATGAATATGACAAACCCAGCTATGAAATCCCTTTTCTTTCCATCCATTTTCGATTTTCTCCATACTGGTTCCTATAAAAATGGAGAATTCCAATGAAGCAAAACAAAAAATTTAAACAGTGAATATACTTTTACTGACATAGACTTCTGATAATTTTCATAGCTTATATATTTCAAGTACTTATCAACAGAGGGCATTAACATTTTAAATCTGTACATCTGGACAACTGCTTTGCATATTCCATGACATGCCCCCCTCCCCAAATTATAAATAAATATGATGTGAACAGATGTCAGGAAAACTGAATCACTCTGAATATAAATTGCCATTCCAGGCAAAGTAAGCAGCCATTCAAATGCAAATACAAAAAAGGGGGGGGTGAATTCAATGACTGGCATGTTTCAGTTGGCTGTGTTAGGGAGCTTGCAGTTTCAGATTTTATTTCTGAACTCTTGAATTGTAGAATGATTTTAAGTCTAAATTTTTGAGGGATTTTCACCCTATGAAAGGGAACTGATAGGTAGTAGTTCTTCCACATGTTTTAAAAATTTAATATTTTCATAATACATTAATTGTAATTTATCTCTCTGCTGTTTTCCAAATGCTGCTGCATTTTATGTTTTGGAAAGATACAAAAGATAAGTTACACAGTTATCAATCATCCATCAAAATAATATGATCTCCACATGACATTTATTACTTGGATATGCTTGAGGTGCATTTGCAAAAAAACTGTACAAATGCAGCTATTCACTGTCCACATGTAACAACTTGAGAACCGCTGATTGGATTGTCATAAAACCTGATGTTCTCTTAGGTGTCATGTTCACACTGGCTCTGGAGCCTTCCTACCACTTTTTCAGGGGTCCTTTCCCTGGAGGTAAAGCAGATGGAGTGAGAAGTTGACTTCTCACCACCATTTAGTGCTAAGGTCTAAAATGACTGGAGCTACATGCATCTTCATGACTGGTAGGTTAATAAGCTCCAGGGACTTTACTGACAATAGGTACACATTCCGGTTTTATTTAAAATTGGGCAGCAACAATGGACACTTTACATGATGACCTCGATGCATGTCTGCATGGAACATCTAGACATCACTAAATATGCTGCAGGTTTCCTTGTCAATATTCTCGGGGTTCATTCCTGTACAACTCTGATAGCCTCTATGTTCTTAGTTACATGCACACCTACAGCATGATGTTTTTTCTCCAAAACTGAACATCCCATTGAATATATTAATAAAGTCTTTGGGTAGCTTTATGAGAAGAAGCCCATTGTGACTGGAAATGAGCACAATAACATTGCTGTACTGCCACAGTACTTTTTGTTTTGGGAAAAGAATTTTTGTTCCTTGCTCAGTCAACATTATCCTTTGGTCAGTCATCTAACTGATGCTACACAACCTCCATGATTCAAGTTACATCCATAACAAACATGCTGTTTTACAGAAAAGAAATGGATCATACACTATGTATCAGTGCAGGTTGCTATACATGCAGTTTCTACACCGTTACTTGAAGAACAGAAGACATTTTGAAAACAAAACCCAGAAGATGGCAATCTTCAGACTCACTGCTGTGAAAACCTCAAATCCTACATTGATGAAACAACATTTAAAGGAATATGATATTTATTATTCATCACAATAATATAGGGCTTCTATTTGTCAAACTAAAGGTGACATAGCACATCCTCATTACACTGCAGAGTCAGATTACTGCAGGCATTATCATGTCCCTCAAGACCGAAAATTAGATAATGTTTTCACATAAAAAACAGGCGTTGAAATATAATGAGGGTTACTATACAGCTAACCAGTAAATATTATGCACAAAATGGGTCACTAAATAAAATGATTATATTGTAGTTTTTTTCGCCTTGTTATACAGACAGGAACATCTGAAGTGGACATAATTAGTTATTTCTTTAACTTCTTTTCTGTCACATCTATAAAGATACAACAGGACTTCTGGTCAAGTAGTTGGCCAGTATAATATAGATTAAAATACTGTCCGTTCATTTCAGTGTGTCTCACACCAGTTTGCTAAAACAATGTTAATAAATTGCACTTACTTCAGTTCTGTTGGGAGTTTCTATAATGTTCTGCATAGAATATACTTCCAGTCAGAATTTGATGGGAAGAGGATATTTGTAGGTAAGACTAGAAAGGTACACTTCTGGCAGCACTTTAGCTTCTCTGAAACATGATCAGGGTTTCAAATGTAGTTTGAAAGTCATTCCTCCAAAAACTTATGATGAAAAAATATATCGCTCATGAAATAAATAAAATGCATACATGTTTAACAGGGTATTTTATTTTGTTTTCAAATTACTAACCCTTATTCCTCTCCTAAACCCAAAGATAATCTGTTTAAATACAGTCACATAATTTAACACTTCAATCCTACACATATTCTGAACTCTATTATACAATGAATGGATACTTCAAAAAAATATAATTCATCAGCACATGAAAACAAACAACTTTCCTTATAACAGATGCAGAAACAATGATACCACATCCTTGATATGAATATTTCACTACAGGCTACATAATGAATGAGTCAGCAGTGAGCACTTTCTTTAAGCCGTCTTCACAACCAAAACCGTAATTTATTATGTACCTAAACAGCATCAATTGGAAGTTCTGGAAACTGTGTATCTAGAGAGATGGGATATGGTACTCTGTAGCACTCATATTCATGCCAACAAAGAAGTCAATATTAAAGTTTCCACACCAAGTAAGAATTAATAAAACAAATGTTGCAAAATTGATGGAGAATGCTAACTTACGATAGCCAGGAAACAACCCAAAGGATGAAAAAGGAGAACAATGTCACTTGTTTTAAAGGGACAATGAATAACTTGTGAAAGGCATCTTTTTGTAAGCCTTTCATGGTCAAGTTATTTGTAAACTATTCATGTCAGATCACATGCAATTTTAACACAACGTCTGCATTTATTGAGTCTCACATTGACTACAGATTCATATAAAACTTGTACCTTATGCTCTGACTCCACACTAGTTTCTGGGTATGTGACATCCCTAACAATAGCACAACCTCACAGATTCACAATTTAATTCTCATATACACAATAAGTACTACTTGCTCATGAGTGCATTAAATGGCTTTAAACACAGAGGGAAGAATCTCTTCAGAGTGACAAGGGAAATTTTTTAATCCTAACCAACTGCCAACTGGGTGATAAGAGGCTCATAACAAAGATGTGCCAGAGTCACTTATACAAATCTAAGGTTGTCTCCATAAATCCCTAGCAGGATTAAACCACATTACATTATAATGCAATAAATAGTTGACATCATTTCATGGTTCAGCTGGTTACAATGCCCTCTTCCCCTTCTTATAAATGGATACATACAAAAGCACACATTAAGCTCCCTTTTTTATTTTGGAATCAGGTTGGCGGTTACAGCATTCTCAAATTTAACAAAGTTGCGAGACTATGCATTACAGCAACACAAAAGTTAAAGACAAACAAAATAATAAAATTGTCACTTGCCACACAATACAAATCATATAAGTTTAATACTTTTAGCCTACTTAACATTCGAAGGAAATGTAGGCTTATCTTCTTTTGAGCCAATGGATTTTTATGAAATTTTCATATGGACAATATGCCATTGGAAGCTCTCTCCATTTCCTTTTATTTCATATCGTGACAATGAAAGTACTAAAGACAGCTCTTAAGGCAGAGGTTTTCTTATCTGTGACCCATTAAGTCTTTTTTGTTTTGTTTATTTAACAGAACTCTTCAACTACATAGGTCATATAGCACATGGTGGGGTGATTGTGAATGATGAGTTAGTAAAGATGTGGAAGAAGAAGTAATGGATTGTTTTAAGGCAATAAAATATTTGCCTAAAGAGATTGAGAAAACCTCAGCATAGATGATCTCTAGCCAAAGATTCAAACCCGGGATCTTCAAAATATGAAGTATGGGAACCAATCATTTGACCACAATGTTTATATGAACCAGTGTGAAACTATTTTTTTTATAGTTGGCACGGTGAGATTATATCTAAATCTGTAACTGCAGCCAGTAAGGGACCCATTGCCCATCTGTTAGATAATAGATCAATGAATATGGAGAAACAGTGGAATGATATTGATGGGGGAAATGAAAGGTCTTTAAGAAAAACATGTCCCAGTGTCTTTCTGTCTACTACAAATTCCACACAGCCTGCCCTGGCAGCAAACCCAGGTCTCCATGGTTATAACCCAGCAACTGTGCTGTGGCATGACTTCATGAAACTAGAGTTGAGTGGTGATGAGCCAATACCAGCAGGTTTCTGAAAGGATTAAAAAAGAGTTGTATGGGGGAAATAATTTTTTAGAAAAAATATCACTTTGACAAGAGGTTCATGGGGTGATACACATTTGGAAACTGCTGTCTTTTAAGAAAATAATAAATGTGGTACATAAAAACTAGTTTCAGTTCTTTATCCACACATATCTATTTGATCCATGAGGCAGATAAAGTTTAAAAGTGGTCATATTCTTTATATACCTCTGAATATCTGAATTTCAACTCACAAAGAACATGCACTTCCACTTTTCTCTCTGCCAAAGGAAAAGTGTAGATAGGAACAGAAATAGAATCTCATCAACCAGAAGTTGAAAGGACTTTAGAAGACAGCTCTCAGGTTTAATTTCTGGTAGATCTGTAATTCTGTATGGCATATCAAATGTCTAGTATTTTATTACATTTCAATAAAACAGTGTTATACAGTAAAATCTCAGCATAAGGAACACAAGTGTAACAAAAATACTCCATCCCCTACCAAAACGTTTTTTTAAATACTCCATAACAATGAATAATGGTATAATGAAATTTCAAAATAAAACATTCTCCCCATTCTCAGTTTAATGCCATTTTTAAAATGTTACTTAGAATATGTTAACCTTTTCACAGCAAACCTTATACAGACAATATATGTGGCATTTTACAATTAAAAAATATTGCTGTTCCAAACTGTCTGTTAAATGTGCACTACATATCCCAAGCATACTAATCTCTACATGCACTGTATCTAGATGTCAGATTAGTGCACTATAAACTTAAAATATTGCGATGGCATTCTTTACTGGGTGCCAAGCAAGTAGTGATGACAATGTGTCAATATGGAATTTGTGGAAGTAAAATTTAGTGAGTGATTATCAACCTGATGATGATCAAGAATCTGATTGCAAATTTAGGACACTGAACAATGAACAAAGTAACAGGAAAGCAACTCCAATTGTAAATGAGTGGTATGATGTGAAATGGAAAATGAAAATTTACTAATTTCTACTACTACTTTCTATAACTTCTTAGTCCACAAATATTCATTATACTGACATTTTACTGTACTACTCTCCTACAAAATTAATGCAAATGACACATTTAGCTTAAAAACACATCTTGTGCCAAAAATTTCTAAAACTTGGCTCATCACAGAAATATATTAAATGGATATAAAATACATCAGTAAGTCCAATAATATTTATCTGGAACATTTTTAAACTGGTGAACATGTAATAAAATTCAATTAGCCCTTCAGGTAATGAGCAACCCTGATTGACCAACAATAGTTTGGATTTATATTTTATTTCAGTTTTTTCATCATGCAGTGAGACAACCAGGGAAACAAGGTTCCACAGACCACCATGTACACAAATTCTCTGCCACAGACCACATTAACAATGCCCTACATTTGGTACTGAATGAAATATCAATACAGCCCAACCAAAAGGAGCTACAGCTTTATACACCAAGTGAATGTGTTTAATACCCCTAGTATCAAACATGAGTACATTACTTCCACTTTTCTGTTTTTAAATACGAATATGTGAGTACTAGGCTAGTTGATACTGACCACAATCTACATTTCACCTCTGCAGTTAGTTAATGCTTTAGGCCATTTGTAAGTTTACACCTGCAGAGTGTACAATAAAAACAATTCTTTACTTAACTATATTTCTTATTCAATGTGGGAACATTATTTGTGTTTTAACCACTTTCCTCATACCATATTAATTGAAGATGGCGATTTTTCTTTAAACATAGTGGCCTAAGTTAACTTAAGAGCAGTTAGAATTTTTATTCTACAAATTATTATCAACATTTCTTTCACTCCTGGCATTAATTTGAGTTTCTTCTTGCTCCATGGGACCAGTGATCAGTAGTTCACTAACAAATACTACCTCTGGCATTTGTCTTTTATATTTATCTTTTTCTTTAATGTTTAATGCTTAAATATTATACTTACATTTGGAATTTTTTTTGCAAGTAGCTGCAATCACAGACATGATATGCATTGTGTAGTAGTAGCTTGTTATTATTTTCAAGTTATTACTGCATTTATCCAAATACCAAGTTCCCTGAATAAAACACATGCCCCAATTTTCATGCCCTTTTTAGGAAAATAATTTTTCCATGAAAATGCTGCTAAAGACAAACTAATATACTGCAGTAATATGGGCTTGTCTCAATCTAGAAATATATGCAAGTGCATGTTAGCCAATAAAACTGCAGTAACATGAACTCATGAAAGTATTATAATAATAATTTCTGTGATATACACTGCTGTTATCACTGCCATATAAACTGATGTTATCAGCGCCCTAAGCTACAATACAGACGATGGAAAAAGTCCTGACAAAGAATAATTTTAAATGTAAACTACCGTCTTCAAAAGCCTTTAGAATTGAATTACAATACTCATACTTTTGAAATGCTAACTTATTTTCTTTATGCACACAGAAATCATTTCATTTAAAAAATTTCTGCAACCAACCTTGGTCTGCCTTTTGACTTCTAGAACCTTACACTGGCACATTTCATATCATATTATACAACCAATCTGCCAACTCTCATGTAAATATGAAGAGAACGTTTCTACCTTTTGTGCCTATGAAAAGCCTGCCAGTGCTGGTAACCTCTAATACTGCAGTGTAAGCAATTTGCACTCACTTTCAAACATTCTTCCTATGGCATGATTACCTATATGTTCTGCTTCTCTTAAAATCTTTAGTTTTCATGGACAATAAATCCCTGAAGTCACATACATTCATTCATTCATTTTCAGCAGCTGTATGTGTCTGATTCATTAATCTTACAGAAGTGGCACAAGGAGGTCAGTACAATTACTGAATGCACTATTCCATATTAAATACAATTTCTGTGTTGTACACAAAGTATATGTTGTGTGCATGAACAAAACACCGCTAAATACAATGCTTTTTGGCCAGCAAATATGTGCTTTGCTGTCTTGTTGCATAAACCATGCCATAATGAACTGAGTCAAGTTCAGATGTCTAGTAAACTGACAGAGAAAAAATAATTATGGCTGATCCTAACAGTAATGACTAACTTGCAGTGACTGACAATTGGCAACACCCTCCTTATCCAAACTTCCTGCTGCAAGAAAACAAAAGTTAGAAGGTCATGCCTCTTAATTTGCCCATCTGCAGACACAGCTAACACCTACAATGCTGCCAAGTCAACTGCTGCATCTTGTATATTCCCATATTCTCATGTGTACCACTTTGTGCTACCCAAATTAAATCCCTGAATATGATGCATACACGGTATTTTTATGCAAAATGTTCAAAAAAAAAGGTAAACATGGTATTTGGATAAGTATGGTACTATCATCGTCATTATTTGTTTGTGATTATTGAACATGAATGTGACTATGACATTTATGATGGTAACATGGAAGACATTTCTGTTGTTGAATCCAGAAGTAATATTTCTATGTCAGAAGAAGGAATTACACACTCAGATTCAGAGAGTTCTGTTAAATATACAAGCTCTACAATGCACAGTGGGATAGATTGCGATTCTAGCCGGAAAAAAATCATTTTTCTCACATTTAAATATGTCAGTATTTTTGCTTGGATTCTATAGGAAAATGGCAAGAATAAATGTTTTAAACAAGACTAGCGCACCCCAGTTACTCTTATCTGTTAGTGTTGAAGGAGGAAGAGATGCTTATGTCAGTAGTCACGTTCCAGACAGCTTGGAATCAAGACCCTTGTAGCAGCAGACGAAGGGAAAATCTTTTGACATTTTAAATGGAAGTTATTGAGGAAGGTATGTAGTATATTTTGTAGTAGGTTTTGTATAAATATCTGTATTATTTTTATACATATGGCACGCTAACCAAATTATGGCGCTTTTACTGATCATTTTTCATCTTTCCGAAGTTCACATAGACTTTTAGTTGCTAGAGTCATCGAGAGTCACGATCAAATTCACGTAAAAATATAGATTAGAGTATGCACTTTAAGATGAGGCCTGTTTCGTTTGCTAGTTTTTGCTAATGTGTGTCGTGAATTTTTTCCAGAATTAGGAGCACCTCCACCAATCTCGCGCCGAGACATATTTCCGTTGTTGTGCAAAAGGAATACAGCTTTTGATGAACTTTGTGTTTATATTCTTAAAAGATTACATATTGCAGAATGTTCTTCCGAAAATAGAAACCGTTTAAGAGTGATTTTGAAGAATCTGCGTAGCAATTTTAATAAAAAGTGGGTACAGTGACTCCACAATAAGAATTTCTTTTTAGATAAGAATTCTAACTGGTTAGATGTGAATCTAAATTTGCCAGAAACATTAGTAGTGCAGATAAAACAAAGTAACAGGGATGAGCCATCGACAAGTCTGGTCAGGGGTAGGCGAAGAAAACTTTTTCAAGAATGTAGTGATAGAGGAAAACAGAAAAAATTCAGCCTTTAGTGGAAAATCATGAAGAATCGGCGAATATTTCTGGAATTAATGAAGATCTTATTCTCCGATTTTCTATAATTTTGTGCACCTTGTCCTGTGGATACACAGTGAATGTTGAGGCATTTGATAAATATGCCATGGAAACAGCAAATTTATATTTGTATCCATGGTACTACGTGCCTGCAGTGTCCACAAGATACTGATTCATGGCGGAAAAATTATAGAATCTGCCATTCTGCCTATCGGATTGTTCATTCTGCCTATTGCATTGTTATCTGAAGATGCCCAAGAGGCCAGGCACAAAGATGTGTGAAGATACAGACTTGATCACGCCAGGAAATGTTCGCGCGAACAAAATTTAGAAGATGTCCTGCACATGTTACTAGTTTCTTCTGATCCTTTAATATAGCAGATTAAACAGGCCTCGAGAGCAAGGAAGCCACATTTACCTTCTGAAGTACTCAAATTATTGAAGGAACCGGATATTGATACTGATAAGCAACAACATGAGGACGAGGAAGGATACAGCTCTTCGGATGCTTCTTATGTCTGTTCCGATGAAGAATACTGACATGAATAATGCTCTGAGTTAAATATTTATGTATTAATGTTGTGTTTTCGAAAGTAGAGTAGCTTTTATAATTATATTTGTATTGTAGTGATATTTGTTTCTACTAACTTAACTTGCATGCATTATTTTCCCGTATTTAGAGGCGTATTTCGCCCTTTTTACACATAAAACTACTTAATATTTATTATAAACTAATGTATCACACTTTTTGCTGTCAGAATTTTCATTTTCAATATTCAGATTAAAAAATAATAATCAAATTTAGATTTTTTTCCGGCTAGAATCGCAATCTATCCCACTGTGCAATGGGTGCAAGTAAAAACTTCAGTCTACTACATAACATGACACATCTAAGCACAGCCCAAGAAAACTCAGGAAAATGATAAAGCTGTTTATATGCAGATTTGTTTGTATCTATAGCACTTTTAAAAAAATTACTCATCAACATCACTTTAAGTTCAAAGACCACAATGCTGAAATAATATGTTTTTCTTGGGTTTCCAAAAAGAAATGCAACTGGTTAAATATGAAGAGATAAGACAAACTGTTGCCTACAACTGCACATAGCATGGAGTTACACAATGTCAGCATTCAACAGACATAGGTTCAGTTCTCCTACTGTGATTAAGGCTATCACTGAACAACTGAAACAAACCCTGTCTTTTCTTCCTTAACTCTTTGATAAATATGCATATACATGTAACTGGTTTTCAAGACAGTACATTCTTTTGAACAGTGAATAAACGACTGTTCATGCAAAAACTTATATGAAGTCTGTAAAGTTTCTCTCATATTAAAGATTAAATTATTTGTCTGGAACTTCTTTACAGCTACAAAGCCACATAACACCAAATTTCAGAGAATTTAAAATTCACTACTCTGTACAAAAGCATATAAATTCTGTTTACTCTATAACAGAGGGGTGAAATGCCAATTGCTACAAGGTAGCCAGTACTTATAAGTTTTTATAATGTGCATAGTATAATGGGGGGGGGGGGCAGATAACATTACATCTACAGCCAGTGTACAGATATGCCTCTCCCTTATCACATTAACAACTAAATGCTTCTTCATTCAATGCATTTTTCTCTTTTCATTGTCAAGATTTAAATCTTGAGAATGAATCTTATCACATTCATCTGAAGTATATTTACATGGCAAACTGGTTATAGCTGCCCCTTAGCCCAGGTACTGATAGCTGGCCGGTACACCCTGTAACACAAATAGGTTTACTACTTTTAGGTTTCATGCCAAAACTAAACTCTACTTACTCAGAAAGAAAGTAACCTCTCTTACAATGAGGAAACAACACAGGAAGCACAGTGCTACAAACAAAATGTGTTCAAGAGATGAGGGGGTGAGGAATGGAATATGCTGAAAGTAAAAATAAAAAGATAAAGACTTACCTAATAATGTTCTGTAATAACTAATAAAATAAAGGAGTTTACAGTGAGCTGGATATAAGACTTAACTGGGAAAGCAAAAATATTAGTACAAAATACTGGTAGAGACACTTTTATAAAAGTTGCAACTCAAAAACTCAAAAACCCAAAGACAATGGAAAATATTATTATATGAAAACTGAGTGATGAAATTTGCTACAGATGAAAAGTGTAATAATCAGAATGTGATTGGAATGTGAAACAACAAAAGTAGTGAATAAAGTTGAAAATGTACAGAAGGCAAGAATGACTATAAATAAGATGCTGGAAATTTCAAAACGCAGAAAGATAACAGCAATAATAAATGTAATTGAATTTGAAGAGCAAGAGAGGAAAGGAAGATGCTCTGGCAGTCTGTAGCAATGCTTCTCGCCATAACCCATTCAAATGATACTGGCACTGCACAAGTGATTATAATTACATAACTCTAGAATCTAGTCAATCCACTTCAGTCACTCCCCATTCATGAAATACATATTTTTTTCTAAATGTCAAAAGTAAAGGCCTGCTTGATCCTATCAGCTGCTGCTTGTCTGGTAATGGCAAATTAATTAATGTTTGGTGTCCGAGTACCCAGACAGCATGATTCCATTCCGTCTCAATGACAGGATGGTGGTAGTACTGAAGGCCAGCAGGTTAACCATGATGGAACTTTCAACTTTGCCAGAGGTAAGGAAGAAAGAAATGTGCTCAATATTTCAAACTTATTGAGTGACAAAACACATTTTAAACACACAGAAAAATATTTAAGCATACCCATTCAAGTCTTTCAGTAAAAATAAAGTACTACTGCCTGCATCATCAGGTACTTTTATTTGGGTTACCATACTGCTATATTTAACACAGTATTAAGTAACAAACCATCAAAACATAACTCGGAATATTAAAAAATTATGTTAATTTCTTCCCAACATCTTTCAAACCAGCTGAGATAACGTACGTGTTGCTACTTAAAGCCTATGATAAAACCAATATCCAATTAAGAATTTAAAACAACTTTTTAAAAACACTGTTTACTATTATATATATTCAATTCAATTAATTTATTTACGTGTTTGCCAACAGCAAGAAGCCAATAACAGGCAAACACTGATAATATATACAATAATAGTGAAATAATAATGGATAATATTACACAAACGGATTAACTAAACTTATACATGTACAGTATTAAATATAACAGCCAAATATATGCAAACCCAAAATAGAAACAATATTAACACAGAGCAAAAAATGAAGAAATATAAATAAAAACAAATAATCCACCTAGGGAACACTAATATAATTGTAAAACTTTAAAAAATATAAAAAGACAGATAACGAAGCTAGATCATCTACCAAGACAACCTATCTAGATCATTTCCCTTGTTGAGAACGTTCGCTCAAGGGAGACAATGTTTGTGCTAAATACGTCCAAAGATTTACATACGTCATTTGCAGCGATGACGCACCTGGCTGAAGGACTATGCCTTAGTGCACTGCTCACACTAAAAGTAGAAAATTCTCTTATTTGCCTCGCCGGCACACGTAAACCAACAGTGTCCATAATGGAATGGAAATTTATTTTGCCCTTAAATACATTAATAAGAAATAACGCATCGAGATGTCGTCGTCTAATATATAGTGTTCTAAAATTTAAGGTATATAAAATCAATTCATATTTACGTGTGATATTAAACTGAAAAAATCTGTAATTGCACAAACTGGCAAATTTTCTTTGAATATTTTCTAATTTATTAGAATCTGTCTGTGTAAGATTATTCCAAACGACCGAGGCATACTCAAGCTTTGACCTAATTAAAGCATTATATAAAACAACAAGGCTGTCTAGAGAGGAAAAATTATAAGTAATAAAACGAATAAGCCCTAAGGTCCTTAGTGCCTGGGAATGAACACAATTTACATGACAGTGAAAATACAGTTTACTGTCTAACAAAACACCGAGATCATTTATACAATTAGTACGCAAGATTAAAAAGTCACTAACAATGTAATTAAAATGGATACTGTTGGTTTTACGTGTGAACGATATAATTTTGGTTGTCTCAATGTTAAGTTCCATATTGTTATCATTACACCACTCATGTACGGAATCGATATCTGCTTGAAGAGCTCTGCAGTCATGCACAGATTTAATATCACAATATAGTTATATATGATTGTGTACATATATTTTGGATATCAATATTAACATAGGTTTGAAATAGCAACACATGTTTGTTCACCAGGTGGGCTGAAACATGTCAGGAAGTAATCAAATTATTTTTTTATATATTTCTAATTGTCTTGAAACGTCAAATTATATTTAATTTTCTTATGATCTGATTCCATATAGCTGAATCAATATCTATAAAACTGAGAATGAATCTGATGCATTTATTAAACCAAAAAAATGTCAAAATGGAAGAATTAATATCAGGACAAAGAAATGTGATGTCAAGTATGGCCACTGAACCTGCAGCTGACGTGGATGATGGCTGAGGCGCTGGATGTGACAGGCACGACATAACAGACGTCCATCCAAGGGATAACAGCGCTTGTCTGGCTCGTCTGTCAGCTGCATCCCACAGTCCTGAAAAGGACATTGCCACTTTCTGTAAGACATCTACATAGTCATTATGCACACTTTTGCACCATGCACATGGACTGAATACATAAATTTATTGCCTGTGACCTCACACCAATACATTTTTATGAGCAATAAATAAGTATCAACTTATCTGAAGAAGTATGAGAACATTTTTCAACTAATATGAACTTACATCCACAGACAATATACAGTAACACAATAAGTATATCCTACAGGAGCTAATTAAGGCAGAACTAACAATATTTTCTGGAGACAACAGTCTTCAGGGATGCTGTTCTGTGAACACTGATAGAAGTTTACTGATGTTTCAGAATAGTCCATTCTAAATAATGATGGGTCATTAGAAACTCCTTCTGCTACTCCTTGTAACCTTCGCGGCTACCCAGATTAGGATTCTTCATAATATTTACACATTTCAGATTAGTCTTACCTCACAGATGTAGCAATCAACATGGAAATCCTTATCCATGGAAACTACACGAACAGTCTCTTCAGTTCCCTGTAAAATATATACATGTATACTTTTGACTTCTGTGGCAGAAGTTGTGCCTTGGCACCTACCACTAGAACTAAAGTTGACTTGTGCTCATCTATTAAGATGTTAGAGAAAAATATGATGCAAAGCAATGAGTCATAAACAAATACTGTAGTAAGGAATAGTCATTTGAAAATGTCCCAAAATTCAAATATCTGGAACCAAAATAACAAGAAAAATGCAAGTTAATGTTTAAATGCATTTTCAATATATGTATGGGACATAGCAGTTACATGCTAAGTAAATAATTTTTAGACATACTATTTGACCACAATGAATTAATGCTGCCCCATTCTGTATAATGGAGAGATTACCAAAGTCTGTTGCAGGAGATGAAACAAGGGATTTAAATTGTGTAATGTCTAAGATCCTGTTTCAATGGAGAAATATCAAACATTCTTAAATTATTTTATTTCTACAGATCAATTTGCACTGTACTGAAGTTCCTCAACACAGATAAGCTTCATAATACAGCCTACACATAAATATGTTTAAGAGTATCAAATTACCTCTACTGGAGTGATTCCCTTCCCACATGCTGCACACTTTGGAGCAAACATCCTGCAACACACAAATCATATTACATCAGCCTAAAGTTAGTAAATTTCTGTTAACTCTGTAGCAAAAGACAAGCAGTCAATAATGAAGCTAATGTTACATGAAATAAAGTCTGTTAATGCCAGAAAGAAGTTGAACAAGCTGCTTCAAAATGCAAGCTAAATGCTTAACCTCTAAACTATATACCTGTTAGTACTTTAGTATATAAACACTGGTGCTGCTCCACAAACAAATTTGAAAATCTCTTTTATTACCATCTTATTTATAAACTATGCTGGGCAATCTGGTTCATGAATTTAAATGAAGTTTAACATAAATATATATACATTATTTTCTTTCTATTAACAGAAGTCATCAGGGTCATACAACAGTCTGTAGCTCATCTCCTGATTACTGGATGATTGACACTAGACTGTGGAAGGCTCGTTCACAAACATTTTGGTGTATCCAGCATTCTCAATATTCAAAGCAAACTGACTACACAGTATAAAGTGAAGCTTACGCAGCAACTGAAGTTGATGAAAGACTCTTGGGCTACAAGCCACATCAGGTGGCTGAATGGAGAAGCGGAGAGTGTGCCACAGAGGACCAGTTTTGTTACGCAGCTGCCCTGAGGATGAGAGCAGAGATGGCTCTCGAAACGTTGGCAGAAGATATGGTTCATTCACCACTCAGTCACCTGACTTGGCTTGTAGCCTGAGAGTCTTTCATTGACTAAACAGTAGCTTGGAGCTTATATTTATAATTCTGGGCCATTAGACAGTGGTGAATTCCATGCTCTGATAGGTGGATGCATGGCCTATATGAAAGAATAACAGAACTTTGGTCACTTTTCTGCTGAAGAGAGGCAGGCAGTCAGAAGATGGATCAGAAAATGAAACAGCTTCATCCATAAACCATTTTATCCATACTGAGCAGTGCCTGATGGCTCAGTATCTTTGTAGTGCTGTATCAGTATTTGTAGGAGTATCTTGGAGGTTGGTCTGAGCTGTTT